AAGTATACAGACTACATTCTTGTCTACACATCTATTAACTCTGGAGACTGACCTGTTCTCGTTCCATGTTGGGAGGAACATGGAGGACATTTCTGATGAGGATCAACATTCTCTCTATGAGGAGTCTGTCCTCCTCCTGACGATGCTCCCAGTCCTGAAAATAAACACTTTGGATAAGAAACATATGATAACGGACATTTGGAAATGTTTGATACTTATTTTGCTTGGCTGATTTCATGATAATCATATATAAGTGATGACAACTTTCAGGAATTCTCAAAATCTTGTATAATGAGTAAATATCTGATTAATATGTGAACCAGTACTCATATGAGAGATTAAGATTTAAATATTACCAATTTTAGAAGATCTCCTAGTTTTCTTGTCAAAACTCCAAATAATTCTTCATCCACAAAAACCTATTATTGGAAAAGATGTTACATAGTTATATCTTCATACAAGACATGCATGATTAAAACTAAATTGCTTTCCAATGAATAAAAAGTAATGTAAAAACTCTATTTCATAGATATTCTACCTCCTTGTAATCTTGTAGCATGGATTCTATCTCCAGGTAATGATTCCTCAGGGTCTTGTCTTCTGGGATATGGTTATTGAAGCACAAAACAGCTGGCTGGGTCAAGTTAACCAATAACCTTGAAAATGATAATATTTGTAATAAAAAAAACCTTAACCATGTTAACACTGATACAATTGAAACCCTTTAAAGTTATTTTAGAACATTGATTTTAATACAGTTTTAGGCTTTCATTAGATTAGATATGTCTCTTGTTTCCTGGGAAGGTTTTTCCTTGCTTCTTATGACTTGAGCATTATTTTACCTGATGACGGCCTCAAACAGAACTCTGTCTGTGTGGTACTGCTTCAGAATGGGGACAATGTCCTTCTGTAGAATACAGCCCTCCCCGAGTTGTCTCCTAATATTACACGTCTCATCCTCTCTTTTCAAGAAACGAATGAGATCCTTGATTGTCTCTAGAAATTCCAAGGAAATAGACAACAATTTAGATGGATGTATAACAATGCATATATATTCTTGACCTGTCTATTTCAAAAGAAATTCAAACATTTTTATAGTGAACACACTTACATAATTATAATAAATTGATGCTTAAAGGGAAGTGATTTTCATTCCGCATGACATCAAAATATAAACTTAACAGATATAACTAGAACTGTCCAAACCAGTCTATCCCAAAAGTACCGGTCCGTCGGACAAAACAGGTGAAAATCTGATTGGTCCGATGCACTATCTAGTAAAATCGGTCCGTTTGTCCGAGGTTCGTTTTGGTTGGATTTTAAATTTTATATATCTATTTCATCATATAGACGCTTAATCTTACACCAAAACACACTTTTAAAAACCTATTGTATTTGTTGATTGTGATTGTTTTAAAACCTACTAAAAAATTATATTTGTTAAAATTAGGGATGTCAACGAATATTCGAATATTCGAATATTCATTCGATGAGTTGATATTCGAATATAAATTCATGATTCGAATATTCGGATTTTAAGTATACAAGCATCAAAAAGAAAAAAAAATGGCAAAAACTGAAGTTTTATCAGAAATTGAATCAAATTCTCATCGTTGACCAATAATAAGATTTTATTTAAAACAAAATTAAAATACACTCCTCTTGGATTACCTTAAAGGTGTGAAGAATGTGTCTATTAAAATGATATAATTATTCATTTGGTCATTTTATTAGAGATATAACAGTGTCCAGTACTTATAATTAGTTTGTATTGTTGAAAGGACACATTTTTGTTTATGCATACATCATTTAAAATCATTTTCAGGAAATTAATTAGCTAAAAGTAATTGCTTTTAATGTTTCTCCATTAGATAATTGTGCTGTGTGGTATAAATCTGTAGGGTTATTAGTGTACACTTTGGTAAGATGATTAATTAATCTGTAACTTATTAAAAGAATCTTTTGAATTTTCAGGGGGAAATTTTTTTATTACATTTTGGATATAAACTCTTCATATATTCTGAAAAATATTTTAAGAACATAATTAAAGTGCATTTACAAAACTCTACATGAAATTTTATTCCAAAATAATGACATAAAAAGTATATATTGCTTTACAAAAGAGTGAAGATATATACATATTATAATGCAAGATGTATAAAATTTATTTTATCGAATATTCGAATATATTCGAATACTACTACCGAATATTCGAATATCAATTATTGACAATTTTGACATCCCTAGTTAAAATGTTTCCTGTGTTTTTTCTGACAATTGGCAAAACTGCGTTTGATCAATCAGCTGATTCCATTTATTTAAAAAAAATTAACTTGTAGCTTTTAATAACTTGAGACATAAAATATAAAGAGTAATCATTATTGTAACAACAATTTCCCCCTACAACTTTGTGAAGTTCGTTTTTTTGCCGCTAGGTAGCCATTTTGGATGTCATGTTAGGTGTCCACTGGAAATATGACACCTGGTATATTCAGTCCAGGGATGTTTGGTCACACATAAGCAAAAAAAAAAAAAAAAAAAGAATTCCCGACCTACTGACCCTTATTTTTTTGGGAATGTTACAGGAAACAAACATATATATTTTTTTAAGCTTAATACATGATTTCTGATTCATATGCTATGAAAAAAACATTGTTATGATCATTGTATGAAAAAGTTTTGGACCGGTGAAAATTCTTTTGGTCCTGTGAAATTGTGTTATAACTGTCTGTTCGAATGTCCTGTGGCGATTTTTCTTTTTCGCGAAGACTGCCAAACGGGACAAAATACCCCCCGCTGGGTTTTTCAGAGGTACGTTTTTCCATAATAAAGATATGTATCAAACAAAAATTATGAAATTTTTCACAGTGACCTTGAACTTCCCCAAATGACCTTGGGTCAAGGTCATGACACACCCTTGGGGCATGGGCAATCTTTGTGTGAAATGAGAACCTACCAAGTTTATCAATAAGAAAGATATGGACCGGACAGGAATTATGAATTTTTTCTTCCAGTGACCTTGAACTTCCCCAAATGACCTTTGGGTCAAGGTCATGACACACCCTTGGGTCATGGGCAATCTTTGTGTGAAATGAGAACCTACCAAGTTTATCCATAAGAAAGATATGGACCGGATAGGAATTATGAAATTTTTCTTCCAGTGACCTTGAACTTCCCCAAATGACCTTGGGTCAAGGTCATGACACACCCTTGGGTCATAGGCAATCTTTGTGTGAAATGAGAACCTACCAAGTTTATCCATAAGAAAGATATGGACCGGATAGGAATTATGAAATTTTTCTTCCAGTGACCTTGAACTTCCCCAAATGACCTTGGGTCAAGGTCATGACACACCCTTGGGTCATAGGCAATCTTTGTGTTAAATGAGAACCTACCAAGTTTATCCGTAAGAAAGATATGGACCGGACAGGAATTATGAAATTTTTCTTCCAGTGACCTTGAACTTCCCCAAATGACCTTGGGTCAAGGTCACGAGACACCTTTGCATCATGGGTAATCTTGGTGTGAAATGATAACCTACCAAGTTTATCCATAAAAAATATGTACCAAACATGAATTTTGAAATTTTTCTTCCAGTGACCTTGAACTTCCCCAAATGACCTTGGGTTTAGGTCATGACACACCCTTGGGTCATGGGCAATCTTTGTGTGAAATGAGAACCTACCAAGTTTATCGATAAGAAAAATATGGACCGGACACGAATTATGAAATTTTTCTTCCAGTGACCTTGAACTTCCCCAAATGACCTTGGGTCAAGGTCATGACACACCCTTGGGTCATGGGCAATCTTAGTGTGGAGTAGTAGATTCTAATGTCCCTCTGTAAGAAAGATATGGACCGGACACGATTGCACAGACAGACGGACAGACGGACAGACAGACAGACGGACAAGGTGATTCCTATATACCCCCCCAAACTTCGTTTGCGGGGGGTATAACAAGATTAAAACATATAAATTTTTTTCCTAATCTCAGCAAAATACATCGAGATGAAAAATTCTGATCTGGTGTCTCTACAAATCTCAGACCAGTATCAAAGTGATTTAATAGGGAAATCATGCCCTAACTTCGACCGCTTCGCCTTGTTTACATTATTACAAGCTGAAAAGCTACTTCATTTCACTAAGTATTGATTGAAACAAGTGGTCGAAGTCGGAGCAAGATCGTCTTAATTACTTCGTGTTGTACTGGTCTAACATTTGTAGAGACACCAGACCAAAATTTTTAGTCTCTATGAATCTAGCTGAGATTAAAATTGTCCATCTCTAGTTATTCTTCATAAGCGTGTTTTACTGTTGAAACCACATGCATACATAAGTACTTGAAATAATTAACCTCCCGTTAGATCTAAAACTATTCATACCTAAACAATCTGGTTCCTTGACATATTTCTTTCCTTCTTGATAACCAAGGGCACTGCATGTGGCCTGTAACTCTACTAGCATCACCATTTTGCTGCAGTGTTTATCTTTAAACACAACAGAGGAGAAATGTAGGACTGCACATAAAATCAAGGACCTATAGATATGCACACATTCTAAGTATTATAGGTCCCTGATTTAAATTTGATTAAAAAAATATTATTAGGTAGATCGTGTATTGAAAATACCCAGTTTCAAAATAAAAGCACATAAAGTTACCTGGGTGTCAACCAACAACTCTCATTCAGTCATCGCACAGAGGGTCCTAAAACGTAAACAAAAAATCGCGGGAAATGGAACACAAATCTGACTCACATCAAAGCTTCATATTTTTTTATACCGATCCCGATGTAGCAAATTGCATTAATTGGCGTTGTCTTGATATCATGTACTTCACAATGCAAGGTTAAAAAAGAATGTAGACTAAATATTAGGCAGGCAATATCTCTCAACAAATCTTTATACCCATAAAAGGTTTTGAAAAGAATTTATTTTATTTCATTCATATCGGGAATGAGTTTCAAATAATTAAAAACAATATTAATATCCGCGTATCTGAAACGCTTCATTCAGGAAGAGGAGAAAAATGGCTGAATTAACTCAGCTCATGGATCAAGAGATCCCTGATGGGCGACAGCACCTTCAAGATAGCTACAAAAATTTAGAAAAAGTAGCTCAGTATTGTCGAGAAAACTATGTCCAGGTAAAACGCTTGAAATTTGTAGTTTTCCTTCAGTATGCCCCAGACAGAAGAGGAAGCAATGAACCAAAAACTGTAATAGGATCAGGATATTCAGCAAGCAGTTGATTGTTTATTGCATTCCTGTTGCTGAATTTAAAAACTTCAAATTGTTATTTGTTGTACACTGATTATCCAGATATGTTGACTTACAAATGCAAATGTCTCGATAAAACCATTAGCATGATCAGGTTTATTGACAGCTGAAATGAAAACTAAGTCTTGTAATCTTCATCATTGCTGGATACACCCATACACCTACAAGAGCCTCAGTTAATGTCCCTATCCTCCTTATATATCTCTTACATCCGAAGTCTATTTTCTAACGTGCTCGTTCCGCCTGAGATTTTTTATGGAACATATAACACTGTATAATGTGTGAAATAAACTGTAAACAAGTAATTTCTTATCATCAAAGTACAGAAATCTTATTTCTATTCGTTTGGATATTAGCAGTTAGATTTTGTTATGATCTTTCCCAGTTTGACTCATTTTGATTGCTTAAAAAGAGAAATATTTCAAACACATTAAGTGATTTCAGGTTGCAAAAAGGTGATAATGTGCAATCTTTGTACATGTTATAATCGTTTTGCTAAACCATGTTTATTTTTTTGTTTTGTTATTTGGTAATCAGAAATGTAGTTGTTCTAGTAATATACATGTATGTAAAAATGATGGAAAGTGAAATCTTACTGGCAAATGCCAAATCTTACTGACAAATCTTATAAGAAATCAGGTGAGACAAGAAAATGGGTAAACAGGTCTGATAATGATATTGATTTAAAAAGCAGGACTGGTGGTAATCATCATGGTACTAGAAATTGAAAACGAATTCAAAGACTGTAAGAGAATCTCAAAATTAAGCATATACATGAAAATATTGTTTCCAGGCAAGTTTAATATAAAGAGGTTGCTAATGGTGATTAATGCAAAAATAATTCAAAAAATTTGAAATGAGGAACTTTCACTGTCTATCAATGAATTAGATGTAGAATAGCACTGTGTTCACACATTTAGGAGCTGTCACTTACTGTTAAGACTGTTTTGTTGCTCTTTTGTCAGGCTACAGACAAACGTTCTGCCCTGGAGGAGACAAAGAACTACACCACCCACTCTCTGGCCAGTGTGGCCTACCAGATCAACAGCCTGGCTACAAACTTCCTGAAGCTGCTGGACCTTCAACAGAATCAGTTGGCTGAAATGGAATCTGGAGTCAACTACCTAGCTCAGGTATATACATGTAGTTATAGTCAACTACCTAGTTGATGTATATAGTTATAGTAGAGTAACTAGCGCAGATAAATGGTTATATGTTAGTTTTTCATCAAATAATACATTAAGGAAAAAGGATGATACTTTGGGTAATACTATGGTTTTCATATGATTGAAACCTGATTTTGATGATCCTGACAGGATAACAGTACTACAGTAGGTAGTTTCTCATTACAAAATGTTAAACTAAAGGATTTTATCTTTCTTAACATTAATGACACCTTTTTCATAGTACATTAGGATAGAATAGTTATTCCAAATAAGCTAACAGTACTTAATAAAGGTAATTCAGTGATCTTTCCTGATTTCTGACAGACTGTAAACATTCACAAAGAGAAAGTGGCTCGGAGGGAGATAGGTGTCTTAACAACAAACAGGAGCTCGACTAGACCGGCGGGGGTCAAGAACGGCATCATCTTCCCAGAACAGGCAGAGAAACCCACAAAGTACCAGCGTAAACCAATAGACTATTCCAGTCTTGATGACCTAGGTCATGGGGTCAGGGTAGGTGATCAACCCCTGGTATTAGTATGAAATATGTATCAAACCTATATAAATGTTCCTTTGTTTTATTGTCAAAAAATGTGTTTATTTTGTGAAATAATTTTCTGATAGCTTCTAAACCTTTATGTTTTTCCTCATCTCTCCTTTATCAGCATGGCTGTTTAATAACATGGCATAAAGAAAATTGATAATAAATATTGTTTCCTTGTTAATGATCTTTTTTGTTTAGTTTGTAACAAAATACCACCTTAAGAAAATTTCTCTAGCTTCTAGTAGCCAGCTTCCCTTTTGTCATCATTTTGAACCATTGTTTTGCATGGATTTGCATGTTGTATTGGCTTATCTCTTTCCAGGTACAAGAACAAGGTTTAATAAAGGTATTTTCATATTTCTTGTGTATCCCTTCTAGTGTGATTTATATCCAGGTTACACTGTATTGCACAGTATCACTCACTACAGTTAAACACAGTTACAGTGAAAAAATTCAATTCATTATTAATCATGTTTTATCTTTTTTAAAAATATGAATAAGATTTTTTTTTTAAATTTTATATGAAGCAATATTTTTCCTGATATAAGGAGAAGTCCATGACCTTGAGCAATTTTGCCTGTCTTTGAACATGCTGTATAACTGTGTTTCCCTGTTAGCACAAAGTACCCAGAATTTAATGTTGCTTAGCTGAAAATATAGGATTGGGCTTTCTTCGTGGTCTTTTTGCATATGTTTTGCATGGAGTTAATTTTCCACTTTGCTTAACAATTCTCATTTGGTAAGTTTAAATAACAAATATTTTTTAGTATTTATGTATGTGTTGTCAATTAACATGTATTACAATCATATTGAATTTACATGTATATTAGTTAAAACAGATCGGTAGTTTTCATAACCTTAAGTTAAATTGTAGAATGGGAGGGGTACTTTTTTATCTTATTTTTAAGAGTTAAAAAAAAGTATTTTCAGAAAATAGTAGAATTTAAAAGTCTTAAGTTAAACTTTAATGATTACAGAATTATGAAAATTATTTTTGTCTGCACACATTATTGTGTAATTCTGCGATCACAAATAAAAAGTTGTTTACAGATAATGTGGTATATATACAAGCAGTAGAGTTACAGTTTTATCAAATACCTCTGATTATTCATTGGTTAACTTTGAGATACATCTTTTTTAATTTGATATAAAGATTTTTCCAGTGTATTATATATACTAGTTGTGAAATCTTTGAAGTTTTGCTGTTTGACTAAATTTTATCGAAAAATATGCCCTATGTTTTGGGTAGTATAATAAAAATTAATAATATTTATAGCTGCATCAGTTAAAAGGCCTTTTTTTACAGTTTGAAATGTATGAAAAGATGTCATATGAAAACTTTTGTTAACTTGTTAATGTATATTTAGCATGCACTCCAAAAGATGATCACTACTTAGAAAAATTCATGAAAATATTTTTCAGTTTAATTTTATATCTTTTACAACTATAAAAGTCTTTCAGTGTTTAAAAGAAGGGGGGGGGGTTATTTATTGGACATGTAACCTATGAAGTCTCACAATCAACAATCTACTTCCTGTTCACAGGGAAGTTCTAAGCCAGCTCGCAGTCCATCTGTCAGCAGTTCATCATCTGGTCAGGCCCCTACATCACATCCCCCCACCCCACCAATGAACCGCAGTGGTGGCACCCTGGGGAGGAGCTCTGGTAGTAGTCACTACAGGACCCCCGCCCCTCCTGTGGCACCACCCTCAGTTCCATCTCAGTATGCTTCCAGTAACTACACAGTGCAGACAACAGGACTACCAGGTAATAAAGAACAGGGGGTATTTCCAGTAAAAATTATAACAACATAATTCATCGTATGTTGATAGCCCAAATGTGTTAAGAGGCAGTCCACCGAAAAACCAGGCAATAGGTGGCACATCGCATGTCATGGATTTTAATTATTTTTTGCATGTAGACTTATCAAAGCAAGTGTTTACACATGACAACATCAAAAAAATTTTAAGTGGTGCTCTAGTCCTGTTTTTGGTAAATGTCTAATTTTAAGTGCAAAAAGGTCAAAGTGAGGGTAAAAAAAATACTAGGTTTTTATTTTGTTTTATATGTAAGAGATACTCAAAAGCTGGATGTGTCAATCAATATCATTTATAGCATAGACTCTTATCTTTTATATTATGATGAATAAGACTCCAAATTATATTTCTTTAGAAGAAAATTATGTGGTCCAAAATTAAGTTTAACAAGTGAATTTTTTAATTCAGTATCCAATTTTCGTTACGTTATAAAATCCAATACATTACTATGACAGAATATTTTCCTCATGTTATTATGAATACAAAGTACAAACTTTTGATTCATTTAATAAAATTGGTGGGAACGGGTATATTGAGAGAAATAAAAGGAGTCAAATTTACCTATTATTTATGAATTTTCCCAAATTAAACCGATCCCGATCGGAATTATATAAAAAAGAAAATACTATAATTGTATTGCTGAATTTGGCTTTTTTGTTGTAATATAGTTAAAAAAAATACTTTATAAATTTTTATACATGTTTTATAGTTGGAAGTTGCCTATAGTTTGATAACATTATAAATTTAGCATTATCTTCGATCGGGATCGGTTTTATTTCCATCGGGTTTGGTTTTTATCGTGAAATTAGAAATATTTCCTAAACTTGGTTCTTCATTTTAATTTATCAGAAAAATAGGCCTATCTTTTATTTCTTTTCAGTCAGTAAAACGTTTTAAATGATTTTGCCCATAGATTCAAAGGTATATATTTAAATTCCTAATGTCTTTTACGTACATGAAGATAACAGTGTACATGTAAAACATCTGTTTGATTTCTTGATACATGGTATTTCTAAAAAAAATATTTGTACACGCATCATGCAACAACTGAAAGCACACAGTTTAGCTTCATTAAATATCTTATTTCCAAGTAAAATTTAATTTTTTATTTTCTCAAGAATTAAAGAGTTAAATTCTATCAGTGCATGGCGAAATTATTCTTGTACGTACCTGCATACAGAAAATATTTTTATGTGTACAGTCTCGACTTTATCCAAGTTTTTTTTAAATCTGTCATCTGTTAAGCCTTTTTCCCCTTTATTTTCCTTTTTTGCAAAATTTTATTTTATGTAAATAAAAAAATAAGTTCTTTCATATATATCATTATTTAAGAGCCCATAAATCGCAAGCAAAAAGCAGGGGGGGGGGTGTCAAGGCGGCATCATTTTTTTCAAAAATTGGTTTCATGAATGTGAAAACATTTTAGAATTGGCCTACATGGTCACATATTTTAACTCCATATTAAATGTGAGGTTGTGATTGTTTCGATCTCCAAATTATAAAATAATAAAAAAAGAAAAGAAAGAAATGTATCATTAAACCATCTTTCGTTACAGTATCAAATTGAAGTGGGGAGTTCAGCAGTGATTTTCCTCAATAAATATTTTTATAGCTGATTTTTCAGGGTTTTTGGTTTATATTTTTAATCGCACCGCTGATTGTTTATTTTGATTTGACTGCATAGATAAAATGATTCAAGTTTTTACAAATATCATGAGGTAAACATCTCAACTTCGTTAATTTAAATGTTGCGTAAATCTAAAATATTCCTGGATAATCAGAAGAAAAAAATCGCTTCATATCCCAATTACATAAAAAATTGTTCATTATAAACACTAAATTAATTATTTTTACGCATATCCTACATGTAGTAAATCAGTTTTAAAAAATAGTTTTCAGACATGTATAAAAGATATGAAAATATTAGTTAACATTTAGGATAATGCACTCTGTAGAGTAATTGACCGGAAAATTCTTTGCACTTCTCTGGAAAACTTACAGTAATTATTTAATTGTGACGCAGTATTTGTCAGGTATATGACGTCACTGATACATCAATGGAAACGTGGATTCAACCTGAATAATACAGCCCATTTAATCTAGATATTACGTTTAAAGGCCAAAATGAGTTCTATTTTGAAAATAAAGTGAATATTTATGCTAAGTAATTTTCTTTAATGTATCGATCCTATATATTTCACTAGGATTCCGACAGTAAGGGTGTTTAGCAGATTTACCGATGCCACGGGAGATAACTCTTGCATCGCAAAATTTCATAAAAACGGCTATATATTTTGCCAGAAAACTAAGCCAAAAGTGTTTTTCCCACCAATTTTATTTTTGAAACACAAAGACTAAATATTTCTAGATTTAGTTCAGCGTGAATTATAGTCCTGTTAAAAATGTATTAGAAATTACAGTTCTTTGTTTCTGACCTAAATTCAGTGGTTTATATAGGGGAACTCAAGAACACGAAAGAAAAGGATATTTTACTAAATAAGCAATTTTAAAACAAATCTTCAATTACATTATTCCATTTGGACTACATTGATATTGTTTTCAATAAAATATCAAATATTCGTCACATTCGATGTGCCGCCTATCAATACAATACTGCCTGGTTTTTCGGTGGACTGCCTCTTAAATAACTAGAAAAAGTTGAATGTTTTTTTTTGTCACTGGTTTAAGTTGAGAGAAGTCCATCTAGATCAGGCACATGTAGGCATGTATGAACCTCCATTCATAGAATTTATTGACCTATCCATGAATTTTTAAAATTGAACGTAAAACTTAACACTTACAGGCCAATCCAGAGCTTCCCAAGCCAGGGGCAGTAACTACGGTCAGATGATTATTCCCCCTAATGCACCAGCTCCTCCCCCACCGGTGGGAATGGCCACACCCATGTCACACCCAGGGGCCGGAATGCCACAGGGTCGAAGGTCACAGCTGAATTCACAATCCTCTGTCGGTAGGTTTTACTATTATGCGTGTATATTGTTGTACTTTCACAGTTTAAGCACTATTTCATCAATTTTTGGGGTGTTTAAAGATTAAAGACTTTGTAAATGTGGAACTATTGATGGTTTTATTAAACAGTTGATGTAAACAAGATTCTTTTTAAATGATAATTAAGATAATTATGTATCGCTTTATATTAAAGTTTCTTTATAAATGACAAGTTATGATCAAAGACTTTAAGTAGTGTTTCACAATGGTGTTAAGCTACCAAGAGTTTCCTTTTTCTTAACAAAAAAAACATATCTTAGATTTATATGATTTAAAAAAAAAAGATTTTGCTTTTTTGTTTAATGTAGTTGTTTAATTGAAATAAAGATTATACCATTTCAAATTGATGATGTATTAAATAATTTTCGTTTCTTATGACAGGAAAGAGCTTTGTTTGAAATCCATAGGACACATATACTTTTATAAGGCTTTCAAGATATGTTTCATCCATAAACCAAGCAAGATGTCAATCAAGATTTATATTAGACTTTCAGCTGTCATCCTAAATCAGACAGGATATTATAATACTATGATATTACATACAAGATATCTGGAAATTTCTCTACCATCATACACCACACAGGGAGTTTATTAACATCATACACAACATTTAAAACACAAGAGTTTTTAATTTTTGCCAAGTCTTCCCTGATCATATACATCTCAAAAGAAAAACTTGAAGAAAATATTGTTTGAATGAGTACTAGTACCTTATGAATGCTTTTGAAACCTTGTAAAGTGTGTAAGCAGTCTTAATCAGATGAAGGAGCAATGATGCAGGGCTTAGCATGAGTTGATGTTGTGGTCTTATTTCAGACAATTTACCTCCACCCCCCTCACCAGAGGTCGCCCCTGGAGGCGGAGTCCCCAATGAAATCCTCGAAGGTTTGCATGCTTTTTGCCGCCCTTTTTTCTCACAGCTTCTTGTATAATGGCACTGCTTTGGCTTGGTGTGTAACTTTGTGGTGGTTGTACTAGATCAGTCTTCTCTCACACGGGTCTTTGATGTGTATAGTGACACAGGTTCTAAACATATTTGTTTCAGAGTCTCCTGTATTGCAGA